CCTAACCGCATAAATTTCTAGTTCACATGCTTTGAACATAAAATAAAGCAGGAAATAATCTCAACACATCCTAGGGTTTGAAATGAGGTTTTGGGGTGGACTTTAATTCCCTGCAGTCTCATGGTTTAGGTTCTAAAAAATGGTACCCGAGTTCTCCTTATTGGTGCCCCTTGGGCTTGCCAGACCCTTAGACTAAGTTAAACTCGAGAGGATACATTCTCTTATGCCCGCATAGTGAATAAATTCACACGAAGACATAAGGTATATGAATCCCGAAGGTTACTTGCTAGGCCCGCACGGTGAATAAATTCTCACGAAGGCGTCGCTTTCACCCCCACTTAAAAAAGATTTGAAGCTCGGGTATAGAGCCTGAGATGAAAACTTTTGAAAATATGAAATCATTGAAAAAACGTCAGTACAACTATTTATTTGAAAAGTAATCAAAGATAAATAATTAGAATCGAATAAATAAATTAAATCTTAAATTTTTATTTTCTCTTAAAAAGACAACCGAAAATTACTTATAGCCTGACTCACTTACTTGTCCCTAGTGGAGTCGTCAAGTTGTCATAACCATTTTTAGGGTGGAACAATTAAATATTGTTTTAAAAACGGTCACAACTTTAATTTTGAAAAATTAGAGATTTTGAATTAAATTGAATATAATTTGAAAAAGAGTCGCCATCGACCTTTGGGTTACTTAGGTTAAATACCTAAAAACATATTTTAAAAATAATTTTAAGAAAAATCATTTTTAAGACAAAAAAACCAGTCTGCGTTTACAAAGATTTGATTAAAACGGGTTTGGGATTCGATTACGGTTAAGGAAGGATTAACACCCTTGAACTGCCCTTTCGGTACCATTTAATTTGTCAGTTGTCTTAATTGCAAAAATTTAAATTTAAATTTACAAATTCAATTTGAATTACTTACCTTTTCGATTGAAATTACTATGAAAAATCCAACGAAATAGATGGTAAACTACACTATTGAATGCTAACACAAAAGAAAATATTAAGAAGATTAAATTAAAAATAAAAAATATATAAAATTAGGAAAAACAATAATAATTTTTATTCTAAAATGAAGAAAATTTAAAGGATCTCCTAGTAATTAAAAAAAATACCAACACACAAAATTAGTGATTAAAATAAAATTATTATAAAACTAAAAGACCAAAATAAAAGAACATAATTTACATTAGTGACCAAAATAAAACATGCATAAATTTCTAGGCCAAATTCGAATAAAAATATAAATTAGTGACTAAAATGTAAAAATTAAAATAACATTAGCTAAATCAAAACTAATAGTGACTAAATTAAAATAAACAAACATAATGACAAAATTGCAATAAATTAGAAACTAAAGGACTGATCAATATGCAACAAATAATAAAACAACTACTAAATTATAACACATAGAATAGCAAAAATAATGACCAAATCAAAATTTAATAAAACCAATATGCATATTCGAAACAAATAACAAAGTAAATAACCAGAATGCAAAAGAAATTAAAATACGGGGAGCTTAAAAGTGATTTTACCCTGACAGTGACCAAAGCATAAAACACTCTGAAACTGGGAGGACTTTGAATATTTCCCTAAATTAGACAAACAAAGCAGAAATATCCTAAAAACCAGAGACCTAATGCATGATTTACCCTTTTTCTATACCAACATAATATATCCCCTGTTTTACGTGGATCAACCCAGAAACCTGCAATCAAACTCTCTTGGTTGCTACACCCCAGTTCCGTCTCCGGTGGCCGTTGGCCACCAAAATTTACCGGGAGGCTTGTCTCGACGCGGTGATCACGGATCTGGACTCCGTTTCGTCAGGGGTGCTCCGAACGTCGTAAAATGACCAAAGACCGCTTGGTTTTTCTGGGGCTCCGATCTCTGTCGTCCGCCGTTGGATCGGGCCCAAATTTCAGTATGCTTCTCCCATCCTCGAGACGCTTCTTCTCACCGTTTGCATTGGCGAACCGACTGTCCGAACGCCGCCGAGGCTCCGACAGAACAGTAAAAATGCCTTTTTCCCCTTCTTTTTGTTATTAGTTTTTATTTCAAAAGCTAATAAAAAAAATAAAATAAAACGTAAATACCAGAAAAATCTTTGAACTTTTTTTTTGCTTTTATTGATTTTGAATTGGAATCCAACCCCCTCCATTACATTTTTTTCTTTCGGGTTTATATAGCCCGATTTGTAAATTTTTTTCTTGCTTTTTTTCAACATGCTTGAAAATATTGTGTATTTTTTTACTTTGGCTCGATTTTTGGTTGCTGGTGATGTAGGTGATGACGATGGCGGCTTCCAGAAGGCTTGACGGTGCTGGAACGTTCGCCTGATTTTTCTGACCCGGACAAAATGGGTATCTACAATATCTACAATGATAAAATTTAATTTAGACCCTAAATTTGATTGATTTTCTCATATTAACCCTTGAATTCTTTTTATATATAATATTTCTCAACTTGCCACTTTGATCACTTATAACTGATAATATGGAAAGGATCTAAAGGTTTATTTTATAAACAAATGAAGTTGGTATATCATGTTTTAGACTTGAAATATAATACTTGAATTATGGATGCTAGAGGTACTATTAACTATGGTTAAAAGTTAGCTATTTGAAATTGCAATATTCATATTATTTTATTTTAAATCTTAAGTAGCATATATTTATTTTGATTTTCTTAACACAAAAAAGTCTTATTTCGAGCTATCATAATTAAATGAAAGGTCACACCTCATACAACAAATTCGACTAATTATGTGACTAATTCGACACCCTAACCAAAAATTCAAGTTAATTCCTCCCACGCTATTAAAAAACTTAAAATATGATTAAAAATAAATTAATTCTTAATTTTTGATGATATGAAAAAGGAAAAAATAGTAGACATAACCTCAAAAGCGTCGTTATAGGTCTTATTTAATAAAAAAAACGAATAAAAAGACTAAGAATAAAAAAAATACATTAAAAATTTAAGGGCTAAAATAATTAAACCAATAAAGCTAAGGACAAGAAGGTCACATTATCTTTGTTTATATACATATATAAGGTAGATTCTTTAAATATAATAAATATATTTCATCTTATTGTCTTATTTAATCGTGCGTCTAAACGTGTCAAGCATACATCTATCAATTTAAAATAATTTTGACTTTTTTTCCTAATATTTATGACGTGGGTGTGTTTAAATACATGCACTAGTAGCACAAATTAAATCGGAATATATTACATACCTTGTATATGTATTTACAATTATAAATTTTGATTTAATCCTTAAATTTAATTAATTTTATCACATTAATCCCTAAATTCCTTTTATATATTTTCTTTACGTACCAGCTTACTTTGATAACTTAGAACTAACAATATGGAACGGATCTAGAAGTTTATTTTATAAATACATGAAGTTGGAATATTATACTTTGAATTAATCATCGGTATCCGATCTATTGACCGATTAATTTAGATCGGATACTACAGAGGCAAGGGCGACCCAACATTGATTATTGGATGTTAAATTTTAAGTAACATATTTTAAGATTTTGATTTTCTTAACACATAAAATCTTAATTTGAGCTATCACAGCCAAATTAAAGGCCATTTTATACAATTTTTTTTGATTAATTATCTGACTAATTCGACATTGTACGATGAAATTGCAACATCTTACCGTTGGTTCATAACAATAAATTTATGGATAAAAAACAACATAACTTTAAATATATCATTATAGGATGTTAGAATTCGACCCAACATTATTGAGATAAGTCAGATTATGAGCTAAATATATTGTATAAAGTGTAAATCTTAATTGGTGACGATGATTTTAATTAAAACTTTTTGTGCTAAAAAATTGAAAGTCTTTAAATGTTTTACTTGAAACTCAAAATTAAAATAATTTAGTTATTTGTCGAATAGCTAACTTTTGACCTTTATAAATAGCTTCTTTAACATCCATAATTATAACATTATTTTTTAAGTGGTTAAAAGAATGATTATTATTTCTAAAAATCTCAGATTCAAGCAGTAGTATACAAAGGTATTTGAGCGTTCAAATCATATTTATATAAAAAAATCTGATATTTAATGTATGCACGGTTTTACTATATTTTTATCTACCATTAAATTAATTCTTAATAAATATATAATTTCTAGATAATAGTATATTTATTCTAGTATCAATCATCATTTCTATAAATTCAATTCATTAAATACTATATTTTAATTTTTTTAATTATATAATTAAAATTATAAAACTGAATTAATTTAGTAAAATTTAATTATTAAATATAATGATTTTTCGATATAAAATCATTTACCCAACCATGAAAATCTCTAATTGGTATCTTAAACAAACTTCCATTTTAATTAAAAAAGGGTAAAGTACACAAATGGTCCCTGACTATATGATACTATTTTTTGAGTCCTTTAACTATTAAAAGTTACAAAATAGTCTCCCAAATATAGGGAGTTGTTTGTTGAGTACTAAACTATTGAAAGTTACAAAATGATCACCGACTATTCATTATGTTCTTAAACTCGTCCTTTTCTATTAAAAATTAACTATCGTCTGAGTTGGGCATTAACATGCTGACTGAGATATGATAGTCGTTTGAGATTGTGGGACCATATTTTATTATATCTCAATCAGTAGGTTAACGTCCAATTCAGAATGTCGTTAATTTTTTAATGAAAAATGACTAGTTTGAAACATAATTAATAGTCAGGTAATCGTTTTGTAACTTTTAATGGTCAAGGGACTCAACAAAGCAACTTTCTATAATTGGGGGACTATTTGTAACTTTTAATAGTTGAGAAACTCAACAAAACAATATTATATAGTTGGAGGACTATTTGTGCACTTTATTCTAAAAAAACAAATTCAGTTTAGTAAACTACATCCAGGTGCACCGTATCGAATCACCTCTCTTCCCAAAACAACTGTTTAAAAAAACAGCGAAAAGACAAAAGGTTAGGAGAGTTTGTGAATTGTGAAAGAATGGAGGCACTGATTTCCATGAAGTCGACTGCTGGAATTTCCTTCCAATCTTTTCCTTTCTTTAATCAGCCATCTGGAACCTTAGTCAGACGCTCCTCAATGGACCTTCCTCTCCATCGCTCCAATTTTCCTGCCATTCGAGCCCACCAGGCTAGTAACATTAACACTGATCTCAATATAAGCATTCATTTTTGTATCTTTAATTGATTTCTTCTTCTTTTTCTTGGTGTGTAGCCCGATACGATATCCCCGAAAGGGGAAGAGGCTTTGAAAGTAAAGGAATGGGAACTTGGAATGTTCCAAAACGAACTCGCAGCAAGTCAGGGTATAAGAATACGGCGACGGCCTCCGACGGGTCCTCCGTTGCATTACGAAGGTCCCTTCGAGTTCTGTCTGCAGAATGAGGGGAACACTCCTCGTAACATACTCGAGGAAATTATTTGGAACAAGGACATTGAAGTTTCGCAAGTAATTTTTACAATTTTTGTTTTTAATTTAATTTGAAGTTCATTTGCTTTTACATTTCTAGAATGTACGGTGATGAGGATTTTTTTTGGGGTTTGGCAGATGAAAGAGAAGAAGCCTTTGGCTTCATTGAAAAAGTTGATCGAGAATGCACCTCCAAGTAGAGACTTTGTTGGGGCTCTTAAGGCTGCACATTCGCGAACTGGATTGCCTGGTTTAATTGCTGAAGTTAAGAAGGCTTCCCCTAGCAGAGGAATTCTGAGAGAGAATTTTGATCCGGTAAAGGGCTTTTCTTTTTCTTTTATTTCATAACAATTGAGCGTATAAGAAGAATTTAAGTATATATACTATAAAAGATTAAGTTTTTCAAATTTTAGGGTAAGTTTCTATCCAGATAGAGTGAATTAAAAGAACTATATTTTTCTTTTATCACGCTATCTTTTTATTAGCGAATGATTTCCATCTATAAATATAAATGTTTCTCATTAGGTTAAGAGCAGAGGCATATGACAAGGCTGGAGCCGCTTGTCTCAGTGTTTTGACTGATGAAAAGTATTTTAAGGTACACAATAGTTGGGTTTTCTTTGAAGATTTTGTTCAATTCCCCACTCTTTCTCTCTGTATATATATATTTTTGAACAGTTCTCTGGTCTGTATATTAATATGACTTGCTTTTTACCTCCTATTCAATGAAGGGGAGCTTTGAAAATCTGGAGGCAATAAGAAATGCTGGAGTAAAGGTTTGTTGTATGAGTTATTTTTAACTCGATCTATAATCTGGATTTATTCTTATATGTACACTTGGTAAACCTGTATAAATGTTTCCCTTATAATGAATGCAGTCTCTCTACTGTGCAAAGAATTTGTGATAGATGCTTGGCAGATCTATTATGCTCGAATTAAAGGAGCAGATGCAATACTTTTAATTGCTGCTGTTTTGCCTGATCTGGACATCAGATATATGGTTAAAATCTGCAAGATGCTTGGTTTGGCTGCGCTTGTTGAGGTTAGGCAGAGCTTCTTTATTATTATCAATTTTTTATTGCTTTGAATTGTTGAGGTGTTTTTTGGATTATGAAACAAGTTTCACTTGGGAGTTGAATTTTCATAATTTATTGAGCACTTTGAAACCTCTTTCCCCTCATTTCAATTAGAAAGCATATTTGAGTCTTTTATGAGTTATATAATTGAACCCATGGCTTCATAATGAACTTTTAGTTTTACTAATTTTTCATATATAGATACTTCTTTCCAATATTCATAAGCTTTATTGTTGCTTCGGTTGTTTTTTTAGGTGCATGATGAGAGGGAAATGGATCGTGTTCTTGGTATAGAAGGGATTGAACTTATTGGTATCAATAATCGTAACCTTGGTAAGGTTTTGCAAGTTTCTGCAATTGCTAATTGATTTGCCTCATGAGACTTCTGATCCCTGTAATTTAAAATTTATTCTTTGTTGTAGCTTATAGACCTGTCTAAGAATGTGCAGAGTGTGTGTTAATTGATTCATTCCGCCTCGTAAGAACCTTGTTCTGTATTATTGGTCCCTTACGAACGAAATTTTTGTATCTCTTGAGAAACAAAATATCGTCCTCGCAGCTAAATTTGGGTGATATAGACATTTTTTTTATTGGTTTTAGCCTTAAAAAAAATACTTGATGGCCATTTTGTGTTCATATTAATGCTTTAAGTAAGTATTGAGATTTGTTTTTCATGTATATTGATATCTGAAATGTTTGTAGTCTACCCTATGACTATAACGTTCACAATTGAAGTGTCATATTGTTTCCTTATACCATAGTACAGACCAGAGTCTACCACAAACTTGTTAACCTTTGTGTCTCCCATATAAACCGTCATCAGAAACATTTGAGGTAGATATCAGTAACACAAAGAAGCTTCTTGAAGGCGAGCGTGGCCAATTGATCCGTCAGAAAGATATAATTGTAAGTGAGCCTATACCCTTTTTTAGTTGAAAGCCGAACGACCTTCACCATATTCATTTCAATACACATTAAAAGATAAAAAGTTACTGCATGTCCATGTAATTCCTGTCTTGTTTAAATAATCTGTTGTTAAATTTACCACATCAGGTTGTAGGAGAATCTGGGCTGCTTACACCGGATCATGTTGCTAATGTGCAAGAAGCCGGTGTTAAAGCGGTAAGTTACATTAAGCAATTTGCATCCTGTGCTTGATATTAAACATGCTTTTTTTTCTATTGATGATCTTGGAGCAATAAGAAATTATTTTTATATACGTTGCATGGGGTTGAGTTAGTTTAAGGAAGTGTTAGAAGGTGAAGATGATTAATCATCAACCTCATAGAAGTAATAATCCCAGTTTTAGATATATGAACATCCAAGGAGTAATTTGGTTTGTGAATTGAATGTGAGAAAACAAAGTTGTAATTTGCAACATGAGGTGTGAAATTGGTATCGACAGCTTATAGAGAAGATTGTTCCATTTATAGGTTTTGGTTGGGGAGTCGATAGTGAAGCAAAGCGACCCTGGAAAAGGAATAGCTGCACTTTATGGTAAAGACATTTCTGTGTGAGTTTTAATAAGAAAGTTGGATCGTTTGATTTCTGGAATTATTTAGTTGTACCGTACCACCTTTTCTCCTGGAAAAAAATTACTAATTTAATGGCAGATAAATTTAAATTGAGATGGGAAATCTGTTTGATTTACAGATTTCAATATATGGTGAATATTGTTATTATTGAATTGAAGTTAAATTACTATTGATTATATACTTATATTTTAATCAAAATTTGAAATAATAGAAGCTTACTTTTAGCTCAAAGAAGGTTTGTAACATTGACAAACAAGTTCTAATTGTTTTTGTTTAAAAGTATTGGAAAAAATGTATTATTGATAAACAAGTTAAAGTTGCGAAAACTAAATAAATAAAATTATAGAAAGTGTAGTGAGGGGAGACCAGAGCAGTGTAGTGCAGGGATAGATTCTTCGTCGTCATCATCATAGTCGAGTCGAGTTTGATTATTGTTGAGCTCGATCCGATTAAAAAATACTGAAATAGAGCTCGATTCGATTTGAAAACTCGCGAGTCTAAAATTTTCAAACTCGACTTGAGCTCGAAACTATGAATTGAAGCTTGAAAAAGCTCAGAAAAATATCATAAACTTAACCCGGTTAAAACTTAAACTCGAACCTGAATATTAAGTGCATTTATTGTATTTTTTTTAAAAAAATCAACACATAAGTATTAATATTATTATAATTTAATAATTAAAAAATAAAATGTTAATATATTATTTTTTTGAGTTGCTCGCGAGCTTTTTAGATCAAATATGAAATAGTTCGTTTCAACTCGTTAAGAACTCGAGTCGAGCTTGAGTTTGAATCAAGTCCATTTGAGTTGAGTATTTATTAAGTTTTGACCGAATCGATCTCGAGTAGATCGCGATCTAGCTCGTGTGATTTCCGGCCCTAGTTGATATTAGACATCCTATTAGACATGTCTTTTTTAGAAAGAAAGAGGGAGATATTAGACAGATATGTCTTTTATGAATAAGATAATGATCTATGATAAGTGGTTTCAAAACAATTTTATTGACGGTTCGATTTCGCACTGAGTGACCTAATTAGTGGGGTAGACTAACCGTGGTTGAGAACCTGAGACAAGGTCCCAAGGACATGACAAGATTAGAAGATAGAAAATACCACGCCTACTATTCTAAAGAATGAGAAATTGTCTATGAAGGATGACAAAATATTAATCTCACGTCGAGAATAAAAAGAATATCATAATATTTACATGTAATTGTATTGCACATCTTATTAAACATGTTTTTAAGAAAGAATTTCTTTTGTCTTTAAACTATCTTTTATTTTGTTTAATGAACAAAAAAATATAAAATATACTAAAATTCTGATACTTTTTATTCAATTAATTTAATTCGATAAAATAGAAGTTCAAAGATCAAGTAAGACTAAAAAATAAAGAACTAAAAGAATTTTTTAATTTCGATGACCTAAAATATCATTAGACATCAGTTCCATCCACTTTTTTCTGTATTTGTTATTACCCGATACTTATTTAATCACCATTTATAAATTGATTTTAATATTTAATGGATGGATGCTACACTTTTTGAACGGTGACTATCAATATTTGTATATTAACGGATGAAACAAAATAATTGGATCTTAATGGTGATTAAATATTTATTTATTCTCAAAAGAAGTTAAGTATATAAAACTAACAAAATTTTCGATTTCAGTTCATTAAAAATGCAATATACAAATAAATAATAAAACACGGGATTTGTTTTTCCAAAAGCTCAAGAAATTTAAGAGAGAAATGAAATAGATGCAAGCTTTTTAAAACATTTTCACCCGGATTTTACTAATTAAATCAGTGAAAGAATTCAGCATATGGGTATAGGTTCAACCCAATTTCAACAATACTGTTTTGGCATACGGATGGGCTATTAAGGTAAACACAGAAAAATAATATAACCTCCAATTCCATACATTAAGAAAAGTTCTGCTGAGGGTTACATTAGTTCTAGTGTCGGTCTTCATTGTTATCTCATATCCTATTTTACTTTATTATTTTTCATTCTAATTTTTAATAAAATTTTCTTTTGTTTGACTTCTTAATTTTTTTTATATTTATCGTCTTTTGGTACGTTTTAATTCCACTCTTGTGCCACATTCCCTCTCCTTATGACATGTTGTTCGCATATCTTTTGGTAGATATGCGATTGTGTAGAAATTCTCACATCGCTCGTATCTAATTTGCAATGGTCAATGGTCTTTCAGTGGTTAAAATTTCTTTTATGATTGTTTGTCTATATTTTAGATCTATATGTGAAACATGTAGTGCTTTGATTCGTTTGTCACTCCTCCATCATTTCTAAAGCATCTAATTGGATAGAGATAAAGAGTACTATTGAAGGTTACAGAGTTACCAATGAACGTCAAATTCAAAATATGACTTCGACTATTATGATTAGATTTTTTTTATGTTTTTTTACATAATACTTGATTCTCTCTTTAATCAATTGTATTATTAAGGTTGTATTTTTTCAATAATTCAGTATCGTTTCAAGATTTAAAAAGTAGCAAACAAAACCGATTCCAGCAGGACCTATCATAGCTTCCGGTACGGCTCTGGTCTTCTGGATTATTTCAAAAAGGGTGAGGGCTTGGTGTACATATATATAATGTCATCTCTCTTACCGGCTCCGGTACGCCATATAAAGTATCATTTCTAATTTAACTTATATAATTTATGGTGATCTTCTAAGTTAATTTCTCATGAACATATTGTTCTCATGAAGTATGAGCTTTATCACTTAAGAATTTACATTGTTTAAAATATAAAATAAAATTGATCATTTTTTGTTTTGAAAGAAACTGGACTTACAATTTCATAAATGCATGTTTTGAATCTTCACTCATTATATATATAACACTCTTAACTTTAATTTGACTAATCATTCCAAGATTCTTCAAAATGTGCTTCAACATATATCCATAAATTTAATAAATTTACTTTGATAATAAGATACGCTTTCTTACAAGCCATCATATAAACAAGATAATATATATGGTAATGAGCTCCTTCATTTTAATTCGTGTTAAGATTAATAACTAGTCTAGTGGTAAAAGCCTAAAGTATGCTATTATGCGTGTGCTCAGTCATATTAAATGCCTTGTTACATTCAACATGCAACTTGCATTATATATTCATATATTTCTGTAAAGTAGTCACGTGTTTAAGTGCCATGTTCACAATTATTTCTCCGTACGTAATTTAATAGATCTATTTGAGTTCACGTTAAGATGCCGACGTCATAACAAGAGTTGCCAATAACATTCATATCAGAGTATAATACTATACCGCAATACCATTGCCAATTTGCCATTGGAGGAGATAATCTAACATTTGCCTAATGCCATAAATTGAATCCTTAAATCACAACGTTAACGAAGTTTAGAGCATCCATTAATGTTGCAATTTGGGCTCACAAGATTTTCCTTATTCCGTATGCTATGCCCATATCATCAGAAAAACAACCCAACTCAGACACTGCTTTGAAATTAAACCCAAAAGCAACATTGGGACATATATTGCTTCTCAAACCTAATTAAACATTCATTTACTACACTACACCAACTTATTTGAGAATGAAATAAAAATTGCACAACATCAAACTGTGTTTGGCAGCATGAATTTCTCCTTCGAATGCTCGAAAAGATGGTGGCAACATCGTATAATATCGAACCTGAAAACAACGAGCTCACATTCACATCTTTGGATGATGGTTAATGATATGATTTGATTCTAAGAGTTTCCCAAGCTCATTCATTTATGAGTTTTGCAGGTTGGGAACTTGTATTTACTAATTATTTCCGTATGCATGAGACTTACCTAAACATAATGACCGCTTACAGAAGCTCTACAACGAGTGCAGATGCACCTCCACCTCCGTTGCAAACACCACCAACTCCGTATTTCCCATTTCTCTGCTTCAAATGCCAAAAGTGTGACTAAGATACGGCTCCACTGCAACCCAAAGGATGTCCCAAGGATACAGCTCCACCGTTCACATTACCTTCTCCTGCACCATTTAAGGTGGAGAAAGAACTTGAGTTTAAGAATGAATAGCAACTTTCTTGCTGACAAATGCCGACTTGGGAATGGATAAAGAGATCTACTTTACAGTATGACATATTAGTTATCTCTTTTATGTTTTAACTTGAAAATACATAAGCAAGATTCTTTGAGAGATTGAAACTCACTGGATTAAGGTCAAGCAGTTTCTGGTTTGCAAGAGCCACAACCTGCAGAGAATGGGCATTATTGCAAAACTGCCAACTTCGTCAATAAGGGAATAATAAATTTAGAAAAAATGTTATCTTACAGCAAAGGCTTCATTGATTTCATAGTAATCAATTTGAGAAGCAGCCAACCCAGCATTTGAAATGGCTTGGGTATTGCAAGGGCTGGAGCTGTTGTGAAAACTCTGGAGCCTGGAAATCTTTCTCATGTAAGTAAGAGGTTGTTAACAATTAACATCGAAAGTAAATTTCAACATTCGTGTTTGACAGTTTTTCTAAATGTCTCTTCAAATTTATACATGGTTGTGAAAAGTACCTGAGCAGCGTCAGCATATCCTGCAATCTTTGCAATCACCTGTAATCCCAGCTTAAGTGCCATTTCTCCACTGACTAGGATCAAAGCAGCGCACCATCACTGCCCATAAGACCAACTTCTCTTTAATTACAAACTCAGATTATGTCCATAAAGATTTATAAGGTCAAACTGAAATTGTTCCTTAATTTTGAACCAAACATACAATTGACTGATTGCACAACCCACAAGAAGAGGCCTATAATAATGGATTCATCGAAGTGGAAAATAAGCTACCAATATAGGATAACCAAATTGTCTATAGAAGAGTTCAGTCAAGCGGTGAGCCTTTTACTTGGCATTTCCAATCTGATTATGGTTAGATATTAAATGAAATTCTGGCTTAAGCATCAGTGAATTGAGATGTCAAGTATATGACCTTATACTGGAGGCATTGCCGCTGTAACAGTGCCTCCATTATCCTTGAAACTAGGCCGCAGCTTCCTCAATTTTGCAGGATCAAACTGAAATGAAGCAATAGTTGGAATTAGCTATTACTCAGGTAGTATAACATCAATTTACTTTATTTAGGAAATTTAAGAAATGAAAGAAACAGGAAGCTTCAAAGTGTGAAATGTGATAATGTGAATGTGATAATGGCTCTAAATTATGTTTACCTTGCCTAAACCTTCATCCTTGTCAACTATGGTGGATGGCTTTCCCCTTCCCCCAGGAACTTCAACCTGTGTGGTATGAAATTTGGTTATATACAATAGCTTATACAAGACAATGCACAAACTTAGTATTAAGCATATGTCTAACCGGAACAATTTCCCATTCAAAGGCACCACCCTGTTGAGCAGCAATACCACGCTCAAAGCTCTGAACAGAAAAGTTATCCTGCAGAAATCATAAAGATATAAGTCCAAACTTCTATCCAGGACAAGGAAGTCCATTTCTTCAAGTGACCCTTATAGAGACCACAGTACCTGATCCTCTCTTGAAATAACATGTTTCTCAGCACATAATTCAGCACAGCTGCCCATGCCACAATCATTATAAACATCCCAGAGTCCATCTTTCATCATTCCATCTACAAGAGTATCATGCCCAAGCCGAGATCCTTTCCTGCATGACATTACATCATCGAAATCGTAACTTGAATACAACAAGGGAACACTTAACGGAGAGCCGTATTAACCTTGCTTCTGCCAGATATTTAGGTGCATTAGACATGCTCTCCATGCCACCAGCCACAACACATCATTGATGCCTAACTGAATGCTCTGTGCTGCAAGCATTGTTGCTGCAAAGCCCCCAACAAAAATGAAAAGAATAACGCATTTAAGAAATACTGCCTTTAAGGTTTTCAAACAGTAACACTTAAATTATAATACGCAGACCTTTCATCCCAGATGCACAAACTTTGTTAATGGTGTACATATAACTGAGTTTGGTATTCCTGCACCTAGTGCAGCCTGTCTAGCTGGTGCCTGACCCAGATTTGCCACCGAGTACATTGCCAAAGAAAACTTCTTGCACAAGTGACGGGTCCACATTTCCCTTTTAAGAGCAGCTGCATTTGACATATAGCAATTAAGTAAAATAAAAGAGCACCCTAAACATATAAAATGAATTCAATTATCAGAAGGGTGAACCAAGGTTTTTCTGTTCAAACCTCTATAGCAATTGAACCAAGCTTGGTGGCAGACAACGACAGAGAGCCGAGAATCCACCCATTGGAGTACGTGCAACACCAACAACACACAACATCTGCACAAATTATACAACAAACATTGATCAAACAATAAGCAAGCTGGTTACAAGTTTTAGTTATCTCATGGGAAGTAAACAATTAAACTATTGTTGCCCTCAACTATACAAAAGCATTTATACTATAGGATTATTACAATATGCACACATGTTTCCACCTATAAATAAGGAAATCATGAACTCATTGAGTGACCTTAGTAGTAAAGGAGAGTGTTGTTCTCCCTAAAAGTTCAGGATTCGAGCAGCTAAGTCTGCAGGATGTATACGCGTGTCAGTAGACTAAGAAACCTCAGACAACAAAATTGCCCTGATAATGTTGTGGGAAAAAAAGAATTTTCCACAATTATTTCCTGAAGTAGGGTGGTTGCTACAGTGTAACCTGAAAGACACCGAGAACACAGTGCGTCTTCAGCTTTTCCGAGGAAGACGCATGAGCCACAGTGCATCTTCCCCTTGGCCGGTCATTTTTCCTTTACTCTACATTTCCATGTGTCTTGTTTGGGAAAACTAAAGACGCATTGCAGTCCTTCCACGGCCGAACTGAAGGAGCGTAGTACTCCATGCGTCTTCCCCATTGCACTGTAGCATTTAGTCCAGGAAATAGTTCTTGGAGTACATCATGTGAGAAATTCTTTTTTCCAACACATTATCTCATCCATTTTGCCCACCCCAGACTATTCAAAAAAATAGGAAATCATTATTCAACGTTACTATAACATATTTAGATAAGCTAAGTCGTATCAAAGCTCGAAGGTATAAATCCTCTCGTGGAATTTTTACAATAAATAATAACCAATCATAGAAGTTATCAACTATGCAAATCTTTCTAGATGTATCAACAACATAGAAACTCTAATACCTCTTGGCTTTATAGAATCTGAAGATGTTGCTGCTGCTGGAGCCATAGGTGAATCTAAAATGGATCTGCAACAAGTACAAGTTAACATAAGCTATTGTTAATAAAAGCATAATTCTAATGATTATAGTTTCAGTGGGAATTAAAAATTGCTAAGAGTTAAAAAAAAACCTCTAACAACAATTTTGCTTTTTTGTTCTTCTTAAACTTCACAGCAAAAGCGTGGGCTAACTTTGCACTAACATGAAATCGAATGTTACCTTTCTGTTTTAACAACCCAAAAAAGATGATCTAAAAGAATGTATTTTAAGCTAAATGATCGAATCCCAAAAATAATTTGACTTAAATACGGCTAATCCAAATCTTAAAACTTGAAGGGATTTTTTCATACTATAGAATCACACTCTTTTGTTAACAAAATACACATTTCAAAGAAATTATAGAAAAATTCCAAAGTACCACTCGAGTGGAGAAATATGCACAAGAAAAAGCCGTATAAATAAAAATTCTCGAGATAAACAGATCTGTTTTGAATATGAATACAATTAGAAACTGAGATCAATATGAGGAGTAAAAAAACCGAGAATCAGAAAGAGAGTTTTGCGAGGGACAAGAAATTGATCCAACTATTGAGAAAGTAGAAATCTGTAGAAATACCTGTGGATAGTTTCGTTGAAAATAATTGAAGCAGAAAATGATGGAAATGGTTAACTGAACTGTTTGAGCTAACGTATAGAAGGGGGAAGCAGGACTGTCGAGCACGTGCCTAACGGAAGAGTGCCTATTTACAAATTAATATTTAGAGTAATACAAGAATGGTCTCTTTCTTTTATATTTATAAATTTATGCTCACTAAATTTAAAAATTACGTTTTAATCACTTATATTATCATTTTATTCAATTTTATTCACCACGACGTTTAATATCGTTAGTTTAATAATATGAAACGTTAATAAAGTGATTTAATTTTATTTTAATCTCTAAATTTAATAAAATATATACTTTTAAACTCGAAGTAGCAACCGACCTCCTTATTAATTAGGAAAACATAGCAATGGAAAACAACGCTATATTTCAAGCATTATTTTTTTATAAGAAATCACTTTTTCATATAATAGCTAAACAACCCATTGCATTCAATCGACGACGGAGAAGATGAGGGGCACAAGTGTGATTGAAAGAAAAACAAAAAAGGTAAATTAAAATCCCTAAACTACTTTAAATTTACAAAAAAATCAAATTAGTATTTTATTTAAAAATTTCAAGGTTAAAATAAAAATTTAAATCGTTTTATTAACACGTCATGTCATCAAACTAGCGACATTCAATGTCTTGGTGACCAACTTTATAAAACGATAATGTAAGTGACCAAACTTAAATTTTTTAAATTTAATGAGTACAAGTGTACAAATATAAAAGATAAGTTGTCATTCTTATAATTACCCTAATATTTATTATTTATTGAGAATCGTTTAATTGACATATGTGAGTCTAAATATATTTAAATATATATTTTATATATATATAATTATCTTAATTAAATTTTAGTTGAAATTAAGGTAAAGGATTTTTTTATTATATAGTGTTTTCTTTAAATTTCAAATTAGATTTATTCGTCAAATAAGTTGTCCTTGGAAACAAAAACATAAAATGTCATTGACAATATTTTTAAAACAATATTTATTTATTTTAAAATCTTTTCACGTTATTGTTATGTTACAAATTAAAATTGTATCATACAATATATTTATACGAATTTTTATTTTTCTTCAAGTATTTACTCTTTTACTTTTAAAAAATTTAAAATTAATATAAAAAAACTATCATTATTTCATTATTGTTTCTGAAAAATTAAAATCGTTAATAATGCATCAATAATTTATTTATATTATAATTTTTATTTATTAAAAACATTGTTTTTTATAATTTCAATATGAAATTTTCTATGATTTATATTTTAAATATTAAAATTTCATTCTTCTTTTAAAACTTGATATTTGAATCAAAGATATTTATGGTAAATCCTTATACTATTAAAAGTATTTTTTTTATAAATATATGATGTGATATCTGCAAATTTTGACTAGCACGAAGACGAAGAAGAAAGAATTTTTTTTTTTAAAATTTTGGAATCTGCAAATGGTAGGTGAAGTAAATGGACAATTTTGTAAAATAATGAAAGATGAGAAGTTTGAAAATTCTGAAATTTTGTCACAATTGAGTCAAGAATGTATATATGTATAATGGCAAAATAGTCAATTGGGGCTGCTGATGCTCTTAGCAATTTTATCACATTAGACTAAAAAAAGGATATGATGTTCTTAAAATTTTTATCAGAATTTGTATATAAATAATTTGTGAAAGTTTCAGTGATTATTTTTTTAATTTAGACAGAAAATTATAAGTTACGATATTTGAAACTCTTAAATATGATAAATATTTAAAAGTAAATATGAATTTTGAGTGTCTGATGAAAATAGACCTCTCTTTAAATAATGGAAAAAGATATTATAGATGAAACAGTGATAGATTCATTTTGTTCACCCTAATATATTAATTATTTATTTTACTGGTTATGTCCATCTAAATTTTTTATGTCCATCTATTTTACATTCTTTATATATATACCCTAAAAATATTTTTAAATCAATCAGGAAAAATAATTTGTTCAATCTTAAAACCATAACGTCAGATTTGAAGTGATTACTTATGGAAGTTGTTGAGTAAGAGTCGGTTATTAATGAAAAACTTCAATGAACCCATTAATATATTATTATTGGGTATAACAAATAAAATAATAATTGTTGAATGAGAAAAAATTCAAACCTTATAAAAACTAGTACAACTATGAGAAGTTGGGAGCTGAAAATTTGACATTTTACATATAATGACACTTTTAATCCTTTATTAAGAGTGGATTAAAATAATATAAAATATTAATCAATACCAAATAAAAAAATTTAAAATAAATAATTTGATCTAGAGGATGGTATTAGCATAGATGAAACTATGCGTTGAGTTGGGAAACCACCTCCTTAATTTTTTATCATTGAAAAATATATATGAATAATATCTATTTAGCCCTTCAAATTTTTTTTGTTTTAATTTTGTCCCTCACATTTTCTATTGTTAGTTATACTCTGCTCCCCTTGAATTTGAATCATAGTTCTATCTCTGGTCATTAGATTCCTTAAGTAAAGTCGGAGGTTCGAATCATAACGATTGAATGGAGTAAACTGAGTTAAAATAGTTGTCCTTATAATGAACTTTTGTAAAATTTAATCTTAATTAATTAATTAATAGATTGGATACTAATAATTAATTAAAAACCAATAGCATTGTAGCCAGAATTGACTCAAGTTTTGATGAGTCCAAGCAAAGATGAGATAAATGTTATGAAGTAGAGTTCGCCAACCTCTTTGAGCGGTACAAAACCAATTCACCAATACTTTATTATTTCATTATCTGTTTATTTTATTATAAAACTTTGACTACGTTGATGTTAATTAACCAAATGTCAATTTAATTAAAATTTATTAAAATTATTTTATTTAATTTTTATTTAAACTTTCTTATTCGTATGATGAAATTTTAATTTATAATATTATTAATATAGAATTTTCAAATCGGACAGATGTCTCATCTTCCATATTTTATGTAACAACCCGAATATTTACAAAATAATATTTAATTGAAATTGGAGGTTAATTGTAAAAATTGGTAAATTGTTGGTGACTAAATCAAAATTTATGAGAGTTTATAGGCCATTTTTAGAAGTGAAGGAAATCCAAGGACCAAGCCTTGAATTTACCCTAAAACTGTCGGCAGCTTTGATTAAGCGTGCATTTGGTTCTGATTTTCAGAACCAAAATGCTCCCAATTTTCCTTTCCCATACGCAGTTTCCAACTCCGATTCCGACGCCGTCCAAATTTCGATCATCGTTTTAAAACCACCGTTGTGTTCATCATCGAGCGTGGAACAAATCCTTCAATTTAATTGAAGCGAAACGCTGCCAAACGTCGGGAATTTACAGTCAAAGTCTCGACGTTTTGTTAGCTCTATCGCCAGAAAAATCTTAAATTCACCGCCGATCGTTGCTCCGTTTACGACACCTCCTGCACCATCGTGTTCCTTGTGTCGTTTCGAGTCCGCCGGTGTCAACCTTGTTCGCCGTCGACGGCGGCGCGTGAGGAGGTGGAGCAGTCAAAGATTCGGCCGAGTTGAAATCGAGCTCTCCGCCGTTCAAAAATTTGAACTGATCTTTGTAAGTATCTCGAAATCGCTTAAAATAATTTTTAGAAATTTTTCCGGAATTTTTAGACCCCCAGAGGAGGCCTCACGCGCCGCACGCGCCGCCTCAGGGAGAGTGGAGGGCTGGAAACCGGTTAGACTGGTTTTCAACCGGTTCTGATCGGTTTGACCGGTTTCGACCGGTTCGAACCGGCTTGACCGGTCTGAACCGGTTTGACCGGTCTGACCCGACCCGACCGTTGACCGTTGACCGTTGACCGTTGACTTCTTTTGACCAAAACTTAAAATGGCTTTGACCGACCCTTAAACGATCGTAAATCTTTTCCGAGTATACTTATTCTGATAGTTTTCGACGTCCCGAATCCGTTTCCGAAGTCCGTTTCATCAAATTCAAACCTGAAGGCCTCCAAATTGACTGTCAAAGTGGTTGACTTTGACTTTGACCAAGAATCTGAAATTTTGAAAATTCATACTTTATGTTTTTCGACGTCCTGATTCCGATTCCGCAATCCGTTTGGCCAAATTCAGACTCGAAATACCCCAAAATAATAGTCAAACCCAAAAAATGCTTATATACTTAAGAATTTTAGCTTTGAACAATTAAGTAAGATTTGGGGTTGATTAATTATTATTGTTTGAAGGTACAAGAGACTCTCCGGATCGTTCGACAGCTCGACCCAGCTCTTCTAGATAAGTTAAACCACGTATACCAGTATTCACCCGTTCGAAAACTGTAACAGAGCGTGGTGAAACCAGCAATCAATAGATTTACTATCTGAACCCATTATCGAGGTGTGTTCCTGTTTACTACATAATGGTTTTATATTGTTTTGAAATATGGTACATTGAAATCTATGAATTATTATTGTTGGTACACCGATTTATTGCTGATGATTTATGAACTTTGATGATTGGTATATGGATATTGATTTTGGGATTGATTGAACTACAATTGTATAGCTCTGATCAAGCTAATAAACGGGCCTAATGTGACTCTTGAGGGCCCCAAGATGTTTCATTAGGTCGGCTTTCCTTTGCTGTGTGCTTAGGGTAAGCTATATGGACTTATTGACTTGGGCTTAATACAACTTCATAGCCTATCCTTAAGTCGGATTTCTTTTTGCTATGTGCATAAAGTAAGCTATATGGAAAATAATTTTGGGAACTACTGATGGTGTACCAGAAAAGGGTTTAAACTATGATTTTCAAAAGTTAAGCTCTTTTACGAATTTGTGAGATTTACTGGACTATGATTTGTTTAATGTACCTATTGTGATTTTATGGTAACGTTGGGACACACTGAGCCTAGCTCACCTTTCGAAAATGTTTTTCCCCTTTCAGATACTGTTGGTTAGATACTTCGGTTCGAGCACTTGGAGGATCAACATCTCTTGAAGTATATCTGATTGTAATATTTTAAACTTGCAAGTTGACTTTATTCTGGTGACATGGACTTATTTTAAAGTATTGTATTTTATAATG